TAAATTTGTTAACTTAAAATTAACAATAAAATAACAAAATGAAATATTCAAAATATATATATTACAATCAAATAACAGTGCGAACATATTTTAAACAATCATTTAAATATAACTCGTACCGCGATCTTAGAGACAAAAATATTAATCAATTTTGAATAATCGAGTTGTTCTTCCATTTCTTTTTCAATATCAACATGGTCAATCCATTTAATTTTTGTTGTGACAAAGTTGATCGGAGATAAATCTTAATTAATTTCAAATTGAAGAAACTTTTTTCTGCTGATGCAACTGTAATCGGTATGATATTTGACTTTTAGCTCCATTCTTAAATATTTTATTCCACAAGTACAAAATCAAACCAATTTTTTTGTTTCTATTCTACAATATAGTTATAAGATATCTACGAAGCCAAATTTATGGGAAAAAAAGTGTCCAAACAATCTATTAACAAAAAAGGAAAAAAATAAAAATAATCATTGATTATCAATGTTTCTAACTTAGCTATAGTGAGAGAATTTTTCCTTCCATTAAATGTGTATGGTAAATACACTTCACACTCATAATAAATTCAATTTCACATAAAATAGGAAATAACTTATTATTTGCAATTTTACACACTTCTCACTTTGCACAAGGTTTACAACTTTTAAGGGAAAAATTGTTATTGTAACAACAATAACGATATATTATCTAAGGTCATAAATATTTTCATAATATATCAGTAAAATGAAAAAAATTAAATCACATCATATATTGCATCCAATTACCCCATAAACGACACAAATTCATATTAATTAATAACGGATTATAGATCGAGAAAAGAAATTCAATCTCACACACAAATCAATGATCCGATCAACAAGATATTAAAAAATTTTAATTGAATTTAGAGATAAAACTATACAATCATCAATTAAATATATAAAACCTATCTGTCAATGCAATTAAAAAAAATTAGGATTAATAAATGATCAGATCAACTAAAATGTGTGTAACAATGTATAAATATATACCGAGGGGGTGTTACACAATGAAATGCGTATTCCTAATCCAGATACTAATTATGTGATTTACGATATTATTGTTGAAGAAGTCTCATTGTTTAGAGCGACCGAATAAGGGTGAACAAGTATAAACGATAATTAATTTTTTAAATAAAGAAGGATGCAAATTTTTTTTTGTGCCCCCTAAAGAGCTGGGCCTGAGGCGACAGCCTCTTGGACCTCTCCTCAGGTTCGGCTATGGAAACATGTAATACTTC